TAACTAATGTACTAAATGTCGTCAAGTTTTTGATCCAATTTAAATGTTTTGTACTAACAATACAATAATGTTGAAATTTAATTAGCATGATGTAAAAATATGCATATTATTTAGAGATTAAAATATACGGGAAATGTTGAGTTGAAAGTCAAGGATTCTTTACCATGGTCAAAATAGAATCAAAATTACAATTATTCTTAAATAAATTAAACTTAATGAGTGCTATCTATTATTAATTAATCATGGCAATTAGATTAAATTTATAAACATTGTACACGTGCAACTAAAACACCCTAATGATAATTATTGTATTTTTGTATTATTTATTAAATATTAAATTTTATTCATTATTTTATGTATAATAAATACAGTACTATTAAAAGTAGAGTACATTTAAGTAATTACACAATCAATATAAAAATATCTAATAAAGTGGTTGTACTATAAATTATATTTTATTATTAGTTCTTTAGGTTTTTGTTGAATAAATGCACACTTATTACAGAAATACAGTATTATTTGTGAATTATTTTTAGATCTAATGGTAAAAATAAAAACGATTTAATTTTTTTATGCACAAACTATCTATCAATATAACAATAGTTAAAAGTTAAATAAGACAACTAACTATTGTGTGTTAAATATGAAAACTATAACTAATTTTTATATTTATTTAATTTTTGACCAACAGTTAGTGAGGATGAAGTAAAGCAATGGTAAGTAAATATAAGCTTTAGATAAAACAACTAAAATTTTGTAAAATGATAATTAAAAGCCCTTTTCTTTGAAAACTTTCTCCCCATAAACGCGAAGGTATTCGGGATTTTCAAAGGTGTGCCAAAAAGCAAACAGGTATTACATATGACGACAACTTAATCGATAACAAAATGTTTTTTCTGTTCATTCTTTCTCATGTAAAAAGGACTGTCCGGACGGTCGGCTTACAGAACAAGTTAGTCATTACATTGTTTTTATGAAATATGTATTGTTTAACAATAATAACACAAAGAATATAAATTATTCATAACTTGTTTACTAGAAATAAAATTCTTATATTGATAGCAAAAAAACTCTAGTTTTAACGCATGTTTGCATTCAAATGATTAATTAAAAGAGTGTTTACGAGTTTCACATATTAATGAGTATTTTCTTTTTGAATGCATTCTTTAGGCATTTCTTAAAATATATCAACAATTTTTCCCAAAAGGAGATCCAAAAAAGTTTGCATCTTTTGTTTTCCGAGTCTTCGATGACGACAAGGTATACATCTCTTAATTGTAAACACTTTTAGCAGACTTTAGTATATATTACTAACACTTAGGACGGGATGATTACGTTTGAGGAGTTCATCCGCGCCCTCTCCACCACATCTCGGGGTACATTAGAAGAGAAATTATTGTGTCAGTAATTTAACCATAAGTTTTCGTTTGAATTAATTCATTGAAATACTATTTTCAAAAATTATTGTCATTTTTAGGGACTTTTAAGTTATATGATTTGGATAATGACGGGTATGTATTGGGGAAACAGAATAACATGAGAATCGGTTTAACATGTGTTTGAATTCATTAGATATATAACGCGAGAAGAGATGTGTTCTATAATAGAAGCCATTTATCAGATGTTGGGACCAAACATAGAGAATGAAGAGGAAAACGCAGAAAAGAGAGTCGAAATGATATTCAATCATTTGGATACTGTATGAGAGATATTTGATATCAATTATATAAAGTATATATAATATAATCATTTATTTAATCTATTTCTAAACACAGAATAAAGACGATAAGCTCTCGATGGATGAGTTTATGGAGGGCTCGACACAAGATCCCAAAATCGTTGCCGCACTCTCTCTATACAACATTCACAACAATTATTAACTTATTATTACCCGTCGAACGACACAATGAATTACAATTTTATGCCTATATTATAAATATATTACTAACACTTAGGACGGGATGATTACGTTTGAGGAGTTCATCCGCGCCCTCTCCACCACATCTCGGGGTACATTAGAAGAGAAATTATTGTGTCAGTAATTTAACCATAAGTTTTCGTTTTAATCAATTCATTGAAATACTATTTTCAAAAATTATTGTCATTTTAGGGACTTTTAAGTTATATGATTTGGATAATGACGGGTATGTATTGGGGAAACAGAATAACATAAGAATCGGTTTAACATGTGTTTAAATTCATTAGATATATAACGCGAGAAGAGATGTGTTCTATAATAGAAGCCATTTATCAGATGTTGGGACCAAACATAGAGAATGAAGAGGAAAACGCAGAAAAGAGAGTCGAAATGATTTTCAATCATTTGGATACTGTATGAGAGATATTTGATATCAATTATATAAAGTGTGTATTTATTTAATCTTTTCTGAACACAGAATAAAGACGATAAGCTCTCGATGGATGAGTTCATGGAGGGCTCGACACAAGATCCCAAAATCGTTGCCGCACTCTCTCTATACAACATTCACAACAATTATTAACTTATTATTACCCGTCGAACGACACAATGAATTACAATTTTATGCCTATATTATAATCCTATCTATAACTCAATAGTTCTTCCAATTATTAATTATATTATTAAAAATTTTAATATTCGTTAAACTTTTCATCATATTTTTAATGTATTATAAATAGATAAATATCTCCACAAAAAGATACAATAAATTAAACAATCATTTCATAAATCAAAAGTTAAAACAAAAAGAGAGAGAATTATTTAAAAATAAACTTAAATTAATTTCATAAAAGCGATTGCAATACACTCTATGCTCAACGAAACTAATCAAAATCATGACTACTTTCACGTTTGGTTATCAGTCGTTCGGTATCGGAGGTGACGTTGGCCTCGATGTCACGGGGCGTCCGCTTCTTAGTCTCATTGAAGCCACTGTTCGGCTGAACAAAGAGTCTATAAAAAAATAATTAATATTTAAAAAATTAAACCCAAATATTAATTCAAACAAAAAATAGCAACAGAAATGGTAACAGAAATAGTAACTAACACTTCCTCCATCTCCAAGTCGTCATCGCTTTGCGTTAACTGAAAGTACGGGTTAGTAGAGGTCGGCTGGAAGTGATAGCCGGTGAGTAAGAAGAAGGCCAGAGTCGCCGTGTGTTGAAAAAATACGTTGAGCCACTCGTACTGAAACGGAACCGTTATCTTCAATAGATAGACGATTATTCGGGTGAAGTATATGTAACACACGATCATCACATAGAAATGTCGGAACAGTTTGAGTTTCCGTAAGTTAATGGCGGCCTTTCCGTCCGTTTGCGAGGCCTCCTGCAGGTGTCGTATAGACCAGACCACTGGGAATAGTATGGCTCCGCAACACAACAGATCTACTAATATAAAGATTTCGCGCCACATATTATGCTTCAGTTCTCCCTCTTCGCTCTCTTCGGTGATTATGTCCGCAATATTCGCCAAAACCTATTCTCAAACACACAAACATTCACTGCATTACAAATGTGTGTTAATTACAAATGAGTGTTTGAATGCGAACCTGAAGTGGAATAACAATCATGAATATCTTCTTGTCTTTGTCGCTGAGGATGTGTTTAACGAACGCCCAACCCGTGCCGATCAGCACAATCGTTATGAACAGTAGAGCGCCTTTCAATAGATGAGTGATATAGTAGAGGACGGCCCACGTCTCCACTTGCGAGCCCTCAGTCGATATGTAGTGATAGTTAATCTGTTCCGTAAAGTTAATCAAAACCATTCAAATATATTGACTTTAATTTGTGAGAATAATGTAAATGAAAGACAATTACAGACCCCATGAAAGAGCAGTGAGAATGCTTTGACAAACACAAGACTGGCCATCAAATAGTGTAATTTGAAGGCATCGTTCTGTTTGTTACGAATCACATGAATCCAAATGACGCCCAAAAGGAAGAATATGACGGACAGAGCGAAGTAGAGCTGAGGCAACGGTATCTCTCCGGCGGACAAATAGTTGCCCAAATTGTCTTCACTTATACTAATGTT